TCTCTCTGTGTCTCTGTCTGGCCTTTAAATTGCTTTCTGGAGGCAGGGGATTCTGGCCGAGGAGATAAGGGGAGCTGGCTGTCTTCCTCTGGGAGGCCGGGGGAGTGTGCTGAGCGTGGTCCATCTACCGAGTCAGAGCGAGGAAACGACCGGCGAACCAATTTTCATAAACCACCGTCGGCCTCATCAGCAACAAAACAAACTGCTTGTAGATGAAGGATGTCAAAGCACAGGAGATTCTCACTAAAAGTGCCGATGCTGCGGAATACATGTCTTTTCGTTTTCCTTCCTGTCACTCAGTCGGGTCCTGGAGGATCCCCACCCAACCCCTCAGTCCTGACACTCTCTTACATAAGCCCTCAGTGCTCTGCTGTCTCTCCACTAGACCTTGTCGTATGGATTATTGATAGCAGCACAGAGCGAACAGGTCCTCGCATGGCAAGGACACAGACACATGTGATGCGAGATCCACGTGCTTCAAACCGTTCCGCTGCATATTTTATGTCTCATTATAACATTTAGAGGCAGCGTGATGTGTGTTTTTGGTGTGTGAGGATGCAGGGGTTCCCTCTCCACGAACACACTTCACTTCCTGTGTACACACGACCGCAGTAGGCCTACATTCATGTCGCCCTCCTCTTCATCCTCCTCCCCGAGCTTCGATTTCACGCGGCGTGCCTCACCAGCTGACACTCATGTATTTCTGACTATGCTCGCTGTGTTGAAGTCATCCCCGCATGAATTAGCATATTAATGGGATGTCCTCTTTCGTCCCTGTTTTCTGTCAGTCAGATTTCACAGCAGCGAGGGAGACGGACGAGGCCGTGCATGCGGATGGGACGAGTGATCACTGTGGTCGATCTTAAATGGTGCTCAGGGACAAGGGGAAGTTGTACATCACTTCATTTGTTCAGTGGTGATCCAAATGAAAATATGAAGACAGCTTATGTCGGGCTGTGTTTTCAAAATGTGAATTATAATCTGCACAGGTGTCATAATTAAGAATTACATTTTAGTATTACTATGAGGTAGGCCTACCTTGTATTTTGTGGTATCAGAAGAACTCACTGAACTCACTGATTTTCACTCATTGAAACAGTTTTATTTCTAACCAGCATGTGAAATTC